GGTTGTTTGTTGTTTTGGTAAACGGAAATGAACGAAAATTGACAAATGAGGAAGTTCTTCAGCAATTTGAAGATATTATAAATGAGGAAAAATATGTTCTTGCTCTATTTAGTGAGTATAAATTAATATATAAGCTATTTAAAGTATTTCTGCTATCTTTAAAAAGATCTACTGTTTGAAACTGATAAAATATTTGTATTTTTTAAAGCAAAATCATGCTGTCAATGCGTTGAATGTGTAGAAACTGAAGCACTTTTAGCATCTACAAGTCATCATTTGGAAGATTCGTACGGTGTAAAAATTGTAAAACTAATCGAACATAAAGTACTTCAAGAAAGATATGGAATAAAGTCTTATCCTACAGTTTTATATATAAGAGATGGAATTCCTCTTCTATATGATGGTAAGAAATTACAAAATTTTATATATTAAAGAACAAATTTGGCTTATCTTACTAAAAGTAAGATAATTTACTAACACATGCTGTGTAATTAAAATAAAAATACCACATTAAATGTGAAATTGGCCTTAACTTAGTAATAAAATTGATTTTTAATATAATTTTGTTTTATTAAAAGTGTTTACGAGAAATAAAATTTTTATTTTAATGAACTGATAAATATTTTTATTATGTGTTTATGTACAGGTTCCTTGGAACTTGATGCTCTTTTGGAAGCTATAGAAAAGAATCGTGAACCACTGATCAAATCATTAAATGATGAAAGTTTTGAACATTTGACGCAAGCTGCTACAGGTGCAACAACTGGAGATTGGCTAGTTTTGTTGTATGTAATTTATTTAAATAATACAAGTTGATATAAAAAAATTAGTTTACATTGTAAAATTAATATACTATTTTTTGAATTAAATTAAATAATTTAATATATCTCATTATTAAATTTTATCTTCAACTAACTGAAAGTACTTAAATAAATGAAACAATAAAGATACATTTTGTTTGTAGAAATATAATTTATTCTGCCATTAATGCTTTTAAAGTGTTTAGCTTTAGCTATATATATATATATATATATGGCATATGCTCAGAAAAATTTTTTGCTCAGAATCTACTCAGCAAAATTTTTTTTTGCTCAGAGAAGTATATGTTCCGCTCATCTACAAAAAACATTAGAGGGAACAATGCCATATAATTTTGTTGCCATATTTTGACAAAGCAATGTATAACAACTGCTAATCTAACACAATGGGTGAAAGATACCCACCATTGTGTTAGAATTGCATACCTGCCTTCCAACCATGTAGGTATGTCCTAAAATTGCCAGACATCCTTTATTTCAAAAGACAATCCTTTATTATATAGCACTCACCAAATAAACCATCACCAGTTCATAACCAAACAATCCTTTATTTTAGCTAAATTGTCCCTATTCTTTATTCAAACAAGAAAGGATGAGATTTGTCCTTTATTTTCATTTTCCAATGTCTGTGTTTCATAAAATGGCAGTGGTGGATTTCTGTACAGATGTATGCCAAACCTTATCAATCCAGATCATTCCACACAAAAAGCTATGGTTTATCATTAAATATTTTAAATTCTAAATGAAATTAAAATTTGCAAATATTTATAATCAATGTGAAAACCATAATTTTTAAATTTAAATCTAAAAAAATATAACCAAAAAGTTTAGTTATTAACTAAAAAATTAACTCTTTTGGAGTGTGATGCAGAGATACAGAATATGTCCAACTGCATTAACAAGGTTCAGGGGAAATTAAAAAAGTCCTGAGGAAATTTACCACAGAAAATTACTATTATGGCAATAATCACAAAAACATTACAATAAAAAAAGAAGAATCTTGGCTAATCTTATAGACATTTATTAGGAATACATGCCAAAAATGTAGGAAACAATGTGTTTCAAAAATGAAACTGAAATGTCATTTATTCTGTTTCCAATCAGCTCAGTCATTCATCATACTACTGCCTACTTATATAGTATGTGCTTGCAGTAAGGACAAATCAGTTTTACTTATTTTGTAAGTAAAATAAGTTTTACTTACAAAATCAGTTTCAATTTTTATAAAAAAACCAAAACCAAAACAGACCTTTAACAAGAATCAAAAAAGAAAAATCTATTTTTACTTCACAATTCTTTTCAATACTATTTAATGGGTGAAATTTCATGTCAGAATGAATTAAAAGTGTGGCTGCATGTGATCCAGAAGACTGGCTGGCAATACTATCCACAACTGGAGTTAATTGGCAGCATTTGTCTTCAGAGCACAAAATTCATTCTATTGAAGAGCATGATGCATACAACAAAACTTTGAAAGCTGATAAGGCAATCTTTGACAGAAGAATGCCTATCAAAATATTCACATAAAAAAAGAAAAGAAAGAAAAAAAAAACAAATAGTGAGAGAAACTGCACCAGGTATTAAGATACTAAAAGATTGTGTAACATTACTTATATGCATTAATACATTAGAAGATTATTTTAAAACCTGTGCTATTTTATGGGTCGTCTAATCCTTATAAATCAGAAGTGTAAATGAAAATGTGTTACCAGTATATTAAAAGCAAATAAAAAGTTTGGATGACTGCTTATTTATTTAGAGAGTGATTTCTAAATTGTTTTGTGTCAGTTACGGAAAACTATTTAAAATAGAAAAATCCTGATTTCAAAATAATCTTTACTATTTGATAAATCTTTGGCATGATCTGAAGAATAATGATGATCAACCTTTCTTGGATACAGATTGCAAGTAAACTTCATAAGATCCAACAGGCCTCATGCACTTTTTCTTATATACGAGGTCTGTTCAAAAAATATGCGGACTGTTTGAATTGCGTGGCTCCAGTTGGTTCCAGGGGAATCAGCTTGGTGTTGCTAGGTTTGTACAGATTGTCTGGTGATAAAGCCGTTTTCCGATTACAGATATCTTTATTTGTTGATTAACTATGCAGTTTTTAGTGAATGACCTGATGGAGCAACGACTTGCTGTGAAATTTTGTGTTAAACTTGGAGAATCTGCGACTGAAACTTTGCTATGCTCAACACAGCTTACGGTGATGTTGCTATGAAGCATACAGCATGTTTGAGGTGGGCCCCCAGACCCAAAAAAGTTTGCCAAGTTCGATCCAATGTCAAGGTGATGCTGACAGTTTTCTTTGGTGTTGTTCACCACGAGTACCTTCCCCAAGGCTCCACAGTGAACCAGACTTACTACATTGAAGTTCTGAAATGTCTGAGGGACGCCATTGAAATTCATGACATATCAAAATTGAACTGTTGATATGTCATGAGTTCCATCATGACGTAAAAATGGCACTGAAGTAATGTTCCTAACACCAAATATAACTTCTTTAATTCAACCATTTAAGTCATTATATTATCTTTAATTCTCATTACATCTGAAAATTTTTTTATAAAAGATCTTGAGAAAAACTGATTAAAATTCTATTGAAGTGGTGGAGGCATGAAACATTTTTCAATTGTGCATTATATTGAAATTATAGCTCTACTGCTCAAAGAAGTAAAGTCATCAACATTAAATGTGCATATCAGCATTTGGTGCTGACTTAGCAGCATTTTGTATGCTCCATAAGTGGACAGGCCACTTTTCCCTTTTGTCAGTGTTTTTAAAGAATTTGATATTATCACAAACACTTCATATACGAGTCTAATACCAATATATATATTCCAAAGACATTGTATGTATTTTATTACGAATGACTAAAGCAAATCAGAATTAATATTTTTTATATATGTATATTGGTATATGTATGAGAATTTTATCTCAAATGTGATAATATTTAATGACAGATAAGATAAATTACATCTTCAAGTCTGGCAACTTTAGTGTTATCATGTTGGTGATTTAAATCAATTATGGTTGACTCGTAAGTGGAAAGAAACAAGTTACTCTTACAGTTATATCATATTATTGAGCAGTGCTACAATTTCTCTGCCCCAAAAAAAAGAAACATCTGATTCATCACTTAAAAATACACAGGCCATATGGTATGAACTTTCTCAAGATAAGAAACTAGATGGTTCTTTGAGCTTTGTAGGACTTGTAGGATCTTTACAAAGATGTAATCTTTGTAAAGTCTTACAAAGATTACATCTTTGTAAAGTCCCATAAAGCTCAAAGAGCCCCATAAATCTCAAAGAACCATCATCAGCCTTACTATTTTACAAAGATTACAAATCTTTCTAAAATATGATGGTGGAAACACGTACACTGAACCAATATAATGTGTGGTACGATCGACGAAACAAAAAACAAACGTTTTCGAACCTCTTCTAGGTTCTTCCTCAGGTTCCTTTAGCTTTTTAGCTCGTAAATTTTTAGCAAGCGAACATGTCATGCATGCGTGACGGATAATTTAAAAGAAATGTTCGATCTTAAGAAAGAAATTATTTAAACAACATTCGTTAATGTCTTTCGTTGACGGCAGTCGTTAGTTTGAACGGCATGTGCGACACATCTTTTAAAAAAGAACTGTTCGATCGCAAGAACGAAGTTATTTGAAATATCGAATTTACGAGCTAAAAAGCTAAAGGAACCTGAGGAAGAACCTAGAAGAGGTTCGAAAACGTTTGTTTTTTGTTTCGTCGATCGTACCACACATTATATTGGTTCAGTGTACGTGTTTGATATATAAGTGTGGTGAGTTGTGAGTTTTTTACATGATGATATTATATATGATGATTTATATATGATTTACCACGCAGCATTGCAGGGCCTCATCTGCATTGCTGTGTGGGAAAAAGGAAAAGATATTCAGTATGGTAAGAAAAAGACAGAGATAGGATATAAACAACCAGAAAAATTGTTGTCCTTAATAATTGTAGTAAAAGTCAATAAACTGACTGATAGCAAATGTCACAAGTACATTGTACCATAACAAAAGAAATTATTAACAAACCAAACCAAAACATTGCACAAAGGCATATAACAGGAGGCACTCATGCAATATTGAAATTCATGACATATCAAAATTGAACTGTTGATATGTCATGAGTTCCATCATGGCCAATAAAAAATTTGACTTTTTTTAAATTGTGATATTAAAGAGTATAAAGCAATTGCCATATTCCTGACAGTATTTATAGCAATAGTTTTACATAATTTCATATGCAGAGATAATATTAAATTTTGTTTATTAAAGGTAGTTAATATAAGCATTATGCAATATCAATGTTAAAAAAATTTTTTTGCATTTTATGCTGTCAATGTTTTTATTCAAAAATCAGCATTTTTCTACCAAGGTCCCATCTATTCCATATTCTAAAGATTGACATGTATAAACGTCTATTTGAAAAATGTACAACTAGAGTCAGTTCATTCAAGGAAAATGGTTGAACCAGCAGAAAACAGAACTAATATGATACTAGAACTTCCTAAGTTAGAAGAAAGTTCTATTAAGTGGCTTTGATGATAAGAAAAATAAGGCTGGTAAAATGGATTTGATGGAAATGGCATTAAAGGAAAAGTGAATCAATTCAGAGACTGAAAATGAAAATTAAAGTTCAAAATTTTATAGTAAAAATGACTGAAAGAAGTACAAGTTTCAAAAACACTTAACTCCATATCATAAAATCTATGTAAACAAACCCAGATTATTGGTTTTTTTTAAAAATGTAAAGAATACACAAATTCTAGCTACTGCAGAAGAAAATTTAGAAGATGAAGATATTCTGCAACAAAATGTTCTTGTTACTATGTGTTAAGCAGCTATGAAATCTAATGACTACACATTATCTGATATTTTTATATCACAGTTTTTAGGANTGGCAACCCTCTTCTACAAACAGGCAAAACAGCCACCTCACCCCACCAAAGTCAGGTAGCGGAGAGTACCACCCACAGTCATTCTAAGAAGTGAACTCTGACCTTAGGACTGAACGGGTAGTTTCTTCTATGTTAAATAACCTAATTTTGTAAATTTGGGAGTGCTTCAAATATGATGTTAGAATGGTTTTATGTCATTACAAGTGGGTTTTTTTAAACATTATCTAGTATAGTAAAATCGTAGGACCAATAAAAATTTGACGTTATATTAGGACTGTCGTTACATTTGATGACATTATAATCGGGTTAAACTGTATATTGTTTGTGTATATTGTATAATTTCAGACGATACAATAGCCATGATTATTTTTTTCAAAAATGGGAACTTTTCGTTATGCATCGACAAAAATTCAACCCAGGCCAACACGCAACAGAGAGAAATTTTGAAATTGGATGGGTTAATTTCATTAAAAATGCATCGTGGACGACCTCGTGGTTGTCGCTGGTGAAGTTTGAACAATCGCGCCCAAAGGCAGCAATATCAAAGAAGATAGGAGAATGAAAACAAGACCTGCCTTGAGCATCAAAGTGATTCCATCTCCGAGACATAGTCTTGTCCCAAATATGGTTTTGCCGTTTTACTTGTTTAATTTTAGAAACATTTTCCATATACTGATTCCAGGATGATATCCTTTATCATGTCACAAACAACAGTTTTTGTTGTTGAACAACTTTTGTTTTGTGATTTTAATAATTTTGAAGTTACAATGGAAAATAGTATAAATATTTTCTATTGTAATTTTTACTTTTATTTTTACAGTCTATCTTACTGTTGTGCTTATATACCACATTTTTTTTATGTTTCTTTCTATATTTTATATCATTTTATTTGTATATATCATATTTACATTAGTTATGTATATTTATATCTGTCTATCATTTTATGCTTTTTTTACTGATTCATATTTTTGTTTATTGTATGTTTTATGAAAGGTTGTTTACAGTGTTTTATGGAAGGCAGTAATCTCATGCATTTAGATATTATTTTTGTGTTAAATAATTAAAAAAGAATTAATAAATAAACAATACCACCAGATACAATCTTAAAATCAGTATAGTTTGTTTCATGCCTTCCATGCTAAAAATGATGACAAAAATAACCAATAAACAAATTTTAACCATACCTTTATAACATGCATATGCAAAGAAAAATATTTATGCAAAGCAAAAAAACACAACACAAAACATTCTGTGTCAAGGATAAAAATGTGCCAGCAACAACAACCAATAAAAGTTATTCCTGTAGCAAAAAAGCAAATAAATAAACTATAACAATGAATAGCACATATAAACTGTGCAAAACTGGTGCAGTTAATTCCTTCTTTACCAAGGAATAGTTTAGGGCTCTAAACTGCCATGAGACAAACACCTGTTTCAGATCCTATGCAACAAATTACCGTTCGGTACTATGAAAATGAAAAATCAGAATATACAATTGCATCTGTCATCTACTTTTTAGCAACAATCTACAGTCGACCCCCCTATAAGATAGAGATACGTTCCATTCTCTAGGAATCCGCTTTCTTACGAATCCTTCCAATCACAACCCGACACGTATCAAGTTTACGGACTACGGCTGTTTGAAAGGTTTTCTTCCATAAAATTAATCGATTCTAGACTAATCCGACTCAACATTTCCAAAATACGTATATATTTTTTGGGAATAATCCGTATAAACTACGCTATAAACAAAAAATTGTAGGATTACTTACCGAGTGTCACCATTCGACATTGCCATTGCTCAACATTGTTTTCGTCGCGGAACAGCTCAGCAAAGAG